TTTTGTGAAATATAGACATGATTTTGTTTTGTCAATATCAATTTTAAGTCAAGCTACATATTTCTTTTCAAATATTTAATTATTATTTTTTTTTTACCAATTTTATAGTTAAAACAATCACCAGAATTTTATAAATTGCGATTTAAATTGATCATTGCACAACGTTTGATCTGTTCTCTGTTCAATCCTCCGCAAAAATGCATGCTATCGAGCTCCAGAGAGTCCAACACAGTTGAAAATTTGCAAAACAGGAAAAAATAAAGGAAAAATATTTATACGCCATTAAAAAAAATTTCATCATTCATACTGCAAGCACTGGCAAGGAATTCAGCCTTAAAGTTCTTCATTATTTACGCAAGGCCTTTTTCCAGTTTTCCTTAATCCCAAGTTGTACAAGGAGGAGCTTCAAGCTAAAATGAAAGGCATTTACTCGAACAAAATACTATCACTGTCATTTAACCATGATTTTGCAATCATGAAGCGATTTGCTCCTCTAAGCTGCAAATCATTGCTATCTGATCATTGTTCTCATAATCCATTTCTTTATGTAATGAAGGATTTTTTGGCTACTGTCTTCTGCAGTTTGCTGCATCGGTCTACGGGGATTTCATGATTATGTTTGTCTTCATATGTCGATATAACAGATTTTGAGTCTGTCGAAGTACGGACATTGCATCCAGCATGTGTACATTTGTAGTAACTCTTGTGGAGAGCATTAGAGTTGGTCTCAATTCTCTAAAATCAGCTTATCATTAAGCCATGTCATAAAAGTGTTCAAAAAATATTTGACCGTGTTAATATAAATACATTATCGTAACTCTTATTTTACTATTTTTGTTCAAGGGTGAGCACACATTGCAATTGCAGTGAATGGAAAGCAGTGAAATCTAGTTCTTCTCTTCTTGTTTTTGTACTATTGAATCCATAGTTGATTAGTCTGCAACTTTTTCTATCTGCCTATGGATGTTAATACACTATAATAATCATTGTCGATTGATAACAAGCGCGAGCACATTTATATATAGTAAAAAGAGTCAATCGGGGATTTGGAGAGAAGGTGAAGGTGTTAGGTCCAAATTTGTAATTGGTAATTAATTTTCATATCCAAAATCATGGTTATTTGACTTATAATTAAGCCCTGTTCAGTTCACATTATCAACCCAAGAATGCATTTTTTTTATGTGATGTGGAAAATGTAGTTGAAAAAGAAGGAAAAGTTATTGATGTGTGGAAAATATTATTTTATTGAAGAATGTGTGGTTGAAAATGAATAGAAAAACGAGAATGAAAAAAATAATGTAGCTCCAACAGGGGCTTAGAGTCAAGAGTTGGAAGTTGGTAGTATAAGTCTTGCAAGAGTCAAAGATGGACCAAGGAGAAAAAGTTTGCATAAAACCACTAGTTGGCCGCCCAGGATGTGCTTGAGCGCTGAAAGCAGGGACATGACCGATCGCTAGCCTCGAGCTTGGCGCTCAAGGGTCGGGCTTACTGCTTGACATGTGCGAGGTTGGCGCTCAAGAGACGTATTTATCGGGGCAGGTCGTGTTCACATTTTACACAATTTTTGCAATCTCTTTCAACTTCAAACACTCGATATTATTAATACCTAAGCATAGTTCCTCCCAAGAGCGTGGCAGAACATGTTTTCATTCAAGAGAGCATATTATTGAAGATCAATTATACATCCAAAGAACTCTTGATTCAACCACATAATCAAAGTTTCATAATTATTCCCAAATATCTTTTGCAACTTGCAAGGTGTTGAATCATTATTTCATACAAGAGAACATGTTATTGAAGATCATAAACCCATTCCATAAATCTCTTGATTTAACCCAACGATCAAAATACAAAAGATTTAAAGATCAAACATAAAAATTCCTTACCTTATAAATATGCATTCAAAATTTTGAAGTTGGAAAGAGACAGCTGGAATTCCAGTTTTGAAAAAGTTCGTTCTTGATGATCCAGTATAGGGAAAACAAGTAAGAGGACTACTTACACGGGCACAAAACGATAGAAAATCAAGAAACTTTTAATAATCGCCACTGTTTGATCAAATGAGTGTGCTGAATTCAGTTTGGTGTTTTGTTGCTTTAGTTGATAGGGCAAATGGCAGTAATTCATTGGTGATCTGAGAACGTAACTGGTGAGATATGAGAGAGATGATATTTTTATTTGATTCTCATTGGTCCTATTTCAAAATAAAAATAACTAAGAGGAATGTCTACAGTCATTTGATAAATGACGATGAAATTCAATACGAGGTCGTTTTGGAAATTTTATAAATGGACATACTTATATTTTTGCATTCGGTTGAGTACAATTAACTTGTAGCCACTATTCTTTAATCTGGTATAGTTTGCATATGGAATCTTACATATTTTCTACAAAACTTGCATCATTGCGGAATTTGTTTTGCCTATATCTTCTCTCTTTATTGGTGGTATGCGGTGTTGGGAATTTACTTAACATGCACAGCAGAAATAAAACAATTTTCAATTCTCAAACGAGGATCTGTAATGTGTTTAGATAGAAATTGTGATGAGAATGATACATTTGATGAATTCCACAAACTCTTTTATTTTTTCTTGAACTCCAATGATTACGATCTGCAATCCAAACTGTCCAATTGTCCAGCCTCCAATGGTGATCCACACAGAGAATAAGAATGACGGCTAGAATTTTCTTTTCTTGTACTAGCAAGAATAATGAAAAATTCCATACTATTTTCAAACCCTAGTAGTCTATTAATATAAGTCTACATGGGCTCGACCCATCTGTTAAACTCAATTCCCGATCCAATATTTAATTAATCAAATTAATTAAATCTGGTCCATGAATTAATTAATCCAATTAATTAATTCGGGCCTATTAATAAACAACCAAATTAATTAATTATCTAACACTTGTCAATTAATTAATTGGTAAATCTCATTCTTCTGATTCTCTTTTGTGTGTGACCCATTAGGTTCCCGATCACGATGCCTAACGACGTGAATTATTATTTTGATCTAATCAAAATCGATAAATTAAAANATGATCCAATCAATAGTGAGATATAGATATGTGTCAATCTCAATTATCGATCATACATTTTATCCCAGCGTCAAGTCAATGTAAGTCGAAAACTCTTTTTCGACTTATGAGTTCACCTTGGCCAAGGATTTCATTATGAACTTAACTGGATAAAATGTAGATCATAATCTCTTACTATCTAAAAGTGACGAATCCTTTATTGGTCATTCACAACCTTCATATGATTCTTGACATACCCGAACGATATTGTATTAGCGACTCTTGGCAGAGCAACATCCAACACCACTAAAGTATGACTGTTCTCATATAAGGTACCATGATAACCTCAAGTCAAAGGACCAATTCCACTACCGAACGTTAGATATTAACCACTAACACTCAGATAGTTATCCATGTGGAATCCCTCAGTGGGTCTCCAATGTTTTGTTCTATAACAAAACATCCACGTGTTCATTCAAATGTTACCACACTTTAGCTTGTGAGATCGGCTACTTACTTCACAAGTAAGAATGCCACAAGCGATAGTCTATCCGTAATAACGATATCCGTATCTCGTTATTACTTCGACCACGAACGATTTAAGTTTCAGTCATGTGTAATTTGTATCTCACAATCACAACTCCTTGTGATTAACAAATCACCAAAACTTGAATTTACGGATTCTATTATTTAATTTATTAGAATATTAATTCAGTTAAACAATAGATATTGTCATACATATGCATTGATTATATATATATTCAAAGTGTTTATGTCCAAAGTTGATTGGACCTAGGGCATAACACTTGCATGCGGAAATATGTAAATGGTTTCGAACAATCTAAAATCAGTTGCACGTGTCATTTATACTCATTATAACTTTTTAATTATCTGCCTTATTCACTACATTAAATTTCTTTCTTTACCACAAACAATATTAGAAACACATTTCTAGACTATACGATTAAATCAAATAAAACTAATAATTAAAATACTATTGGATATGTCATTAAAAAATCCCACGTGCATCACACGTGCTGATGGCTAGTTTATTTAAAAAAAATATAAACGAGTCTCAAGTTAAATAATTGAAAGCATACTAAACAAAAAAAAAATTTATCTTCCCAATTAACGTCACCTTCTCCTACTCCCGTTCTCTACCCTCCACCAATACCAAAATAATTAAAAAGAGAATTAAAAGTATAAGAAGAGTAGGAAAAAATTAAAAAATTAAAAAAAAAATAAAGATGATATTTCTTCTTCAATTTTGAGGGTTCATTTAAGATCTTAATCCAAACTTCAATTCTAAGTGTTCTAATTCAAACCTAGCTAAGAGGAAAATAAATTTTTTTGTTAAATTATTGTAAGTGGAACTCATTTCCACTATTTAAGAAATTTAAGATTTTGACTATAATTATTTATTTTTTTATATTATTTATTTCTTTTCTATTTGCTTATTTAAAAAGGAAGGTAAATTAATGATTTTACAATGTTTTAAAAAGAACCGACTCTGCAAAAAAATGTTGAAATGAGAGTGTAAATGCCAAATTTAAAACGAATGACACAATTTGCACAATGAATGCAAACGATACGAACATTTTGAGTTAAGTCTCCTTATTGTAAATAATTGATGATTTCATTTTAAATTTTAAATCAAAAGCCAAACTGTGAATTTTAAATTTTATCACGTAAAGGTATTTAATTAAAAAGCAAAAGAAAACAATAATATTATGGTAAGTTTTTCCTTAATCCTGAACAAACTCGGCTTCGTATTTCTGCTATGGAAAGTTCCCTTAATCCTAAACAAACTCTGCTTCTCCTTCCTACTACTATATATACATCCCTCGTCCCTGCCCCTTAACCATCTCGAATTTCCACATAAAATTTCAATTGCCTTTTGCTTTTAGTGATCATCAGAAACTAGAATTCAGGTTTCCAGATTTTTGTGAATTGCTGCTACTCTCAAAAGTTGTTTCTGAATCATGACGGATTTGGTAATAACGCTAGGGGGAAGAGAAATATGCAGGACTCTGTTCAAGAAAGAATCCATGGCAGGTTCTTGCAGTAAAGAGAATGCAAATGATTCAGATAATGATGGCGATTGCTCCTTTTCTGGATCTTCCAAGACTTTTAATCCCGAGAAGACAGTTCAAGAAAAGAAGTCTTGGTTGAACTACGAATTAATTGGGAAAGAAGTTTCAAAAGTGAAGATCACAGTGGACAAAGAGAAGGTGAAGTGGCTTAAAGCATCAAGGGATTATTCGTTTTTGTCATCTGATAATGACAAGTCTATGATAAACCCTAATCCTTGGATGGTTAAGAATGTTTCCAAATCACGTGCTTCAATTGCGAAGAAGAAACCTGAGGAATCAAGAAAGGTGAAAGCGACACCAAAACCACTAGTGTTATCCTCTAAACCACGGAGTAAGGAATCAGGGTTCAAGAACACGGGTCAATCAAATCTGGAAGGTCGTGTTCTAAAGAGAAAACAAGTAATCTAGGACTCCGAGGATGATGACGGCAATGTAGGTGATATAAATTTTGATTCTGATATTCGGAAATAAGAAACTCGGAGCGCAAAGATTGCTAGGAAAGAAGATGTTCAAAAACGCAAAAGATTGTAGAACAAAAAAAGGGGAGAGAAAAACGCAATATGTATTGAATATCATAGTATTCTTATTTCATTTTGTACTTGGCAACATAATGCTCGTTTAGTTAACTTCTCTAGTTTTTTGATGTTGATGTCATTGCAATAGACATTTATTTTTGTGAAATATAGACATGATTTTGTTCTGACAACATCAATTTTGAGTCAGGCTACATATTTCTTTTGTCAATATCAAGAATTGCTAGAGTAAATATTTAACTTTTTTACAAATTTCACAGTTAAAGAATCACCAGAATTTTATCAGTTGCAATTTAAATTGACCATCACGCAATGTTAGATCTGATCTCTGTTCAATCCTCCCCCTATCGAGATCCAGAGTGACCAAAAGACGTCGAACATATGCCAAACAAAAAATAAATAAAGGAAAATTTATTATCACCACATCCATCATTCATACTGCAAGCACTGGTATGGATTCCAGTCTTAGCGTTCTTCATTATTTACTTACTGCCTTTTTCCAGTTTTCGAATTAGGGTTCAACGAGTTCTTCCAGCTTCAAGCGAAAGCATAACTTTTACAAAATGCATTTACATGATCAAAAGTTCAATAAAATACTATCAATGTCATTTAAGTAAGATTTCGCAATCATGCAGCAATTTGCTCTTCTTTAAGCTGCAAAGTCATTGCTATCTGAAATTTGTTCTCATAATCCATTTCTTTATGTAAGGAAGGATTGCTGGCTACCGACTTCTGTGGTCTGCTGTATCTGCCTGTCGGGATTTCATGATTATGTTTGCCCTAAAATGTCGTTATAACAGATTTGGAGTCGGTCGAAGACCTCTCAACGTGTTTACGGACATTGCATCCAGCATGTGTACATTTGTAGTAACTCCTATAAAGAGAATTCAGATGCAATATTGATTATCTTCGACAAAGAAGTACAGGGAGAACTTTTAATCTATTAGCCTACAATACAAACTAATAGATATTGAAAAGTTAAGATGAGTCATCATTATAATGGTTGGTATCAGATCAAGAGTAAACCAAAAATTGTAAGTCCAAAATTTGTAATTCTTTAGTTTCCAAGATCAATCATGTTAAATCATCAAAACACATAAACTTAAAATAATTACCTGAATCCATTGGGCATTGTTTGCAGCAGGGTTATATCTTCCACAGCCAAATTTCCTTATTGTCCAATTGGTTTCCCTCTAAGATGGATGCAGCAGAGAATACATGAACAGATTTGTGATTTGGCTTGGGGACCATAACCACATAAGATGTCTTTATATACTAGCCAATGAGGTTTCCATCAACCCTAACTGGACTAGAGTCCGGTCTCTACACATTACAAAGCCCATACCGTTTAGATGTTTCTAGGGCCCAATATATAGTTAGATCACTTGTCCAGCCCATTAATTCAGATAGCCCAATATAATTGCAATTAGTGGTAATTACACAAAGCCATAATTTATGTATTCACATTTCCAAAATTAGATACAAAGTTTGCTTTTTCCAGAATCAAGTACAAAGTTTTCTTTTTCCAAAATCAGATATTTTTAATTAATTAATATATACATATAAAATAAATATTTTTACTAATATAACAATTCAAACTAATTCTCTCCCACCTATATCTCTCGCCTAAGCCTAACCCTAACCCTAATTCTCTCCCCCAATATCTCTCGCCTCCTTCACAGACCCCAACCTACCACCACCGGCGAAGGCGATCCACGCACAGACATGGCCGCACACGACTCTGTCGACATGACTGCACACAACCGGCAGCTGTTCCCACCCTCCTCCACTTCATGCGACGCTGCTGTTCGAACAGCAGCGTCTCCACCCTCAACTTCGCAGCGACCCTCCGCCCATAGTTGCTGTAGTGCGATTTGGCCGAGAGATGTGAGCGATCTGGCCGATCGGTGGATCTAGGTGGCAGTGGCTATGGTGCGGTGCAGATAATGGTGTGGTGGTCGGCGTTGGTTTGTGGTGGTGGTGATTTGGGGCTTTTGTGGTGGCTTGAGGTTGCGAATCTTGCGTTTTCAGTGCTGTGGGTGCGATTGCGGCGCCGTGGATGCCGTGGTGGGCAGTGGTGTGTGTTTGTGCGGCTGTAGCTGTGCCATAGTGGGCGGTGGTTGGGCATGGGTTTCTGGCGATGGTGGAGGAGGTTGTTGGTGCCTGGAGATTTGATAGAGTTGATTGTCATGCTTTTTGTTAGCAGTTGAGTGAATCTGGTGGTGGCTATTTGTTGGTGGTGGTGCTGTTGTTATGGTGGCGGCGATTAGCGGGCGAGGATGGTCACAACGGTGGTCACGGAAGTCGGTGGTGGTCACAATGGTGGTCACAGAAGTTGGTGGTGGTCACAGGGTGGTGCTGTTGGTCTTGGCGACAACGAAGGTGATGGTCACGAGAGTGGTCACAGAAGTCTGTGGTGGTCACGAGGGTGGTCACAGAATTCGGTGATGGTGATCTTAAAATTGTGACTAAAAATTAATCTGCGATGGGAGTGGTCACAAAAATTTGTGGTGGTCACAGGGGTGGTCACAAAAAAAATCTAACTGTGACTTTAAAATTGTGATTAAAAATTAATCTGTGACCAATAATTTTGAAAATATGTGAACGATAGATAACTGTAACCTGTAATTTTTTGATCCGTGACCAATAAAATAATATGTGACCTGATTTGTGATCTCGAAATAATCTGTGACCTACAAAATTTTTGATCTGTGACCAACAAAAAAAACGTGACTTATAATTTTTTTGATTTGTGACCTCAAAAATAATCTGTGACCAATTAATTATGTATATGTGACCATTAATTGTATAATTGTAACGCCATTATATTTAATTAATAAAATAAATAAATATTTAATTAATAAGATAAATAATTGTTAGAATCGAAAAAGTCGCCGAAAAAGTTCGTCGGAACAGTCATCGGGAAGTCACCGGAAACTTCGTCGGACGGTCGCCGGGAAAGTTCATCGGGAAGTCGCCGGAAGTTCGCCGGAGTAGGGCGGTGATCGGAATGGTTGCCGGAGCGGTAAGGGTGGTAAAGGTGGGATGGATTAATTATATTATATTAAAATTAAATATTTAATAATAAATTAATTTAATAATTTATTATTTCATAAATAAAAATTTAAAAAAATCTAATAAAAATCTGATTTTGGTAATTTTAAACTTGTGTTCTTATTTTTGAAATAGACTAAACTTATACTCTTGAATATGTAATCTCCCCTTGTAATTAACTATGTAGCCCACATAAGAAATTAGATTCAACAATCTTCCACTTGGGCTACATGAGTAATCCAAAACGATTATATTATGGGAAAATTAGACTAGCTACCCTCAAAAAATAACAAATTAGATAAGTACCCCTAAAACTAATTATACTTCTTAATCCCATAATTAATACGTGAAAACCCCCCAAACTCCCAAAACTCCAGAGAGTCCGACCTTCATCAGTCATCACCAGGAACCCACACTGCCGTCTTCAATCGCTCCACCACCTGCCTCGCCAACCACCTCCTAAACAATCCATCACCATCATCCCACATCTATACACAACCGCTACCTCAAAATTTTCAACAAAAAGTAAGTTCATATCACCAAATGATGTCACCATATGCACACACTCTTCTTACATCAATTGCAGCACAATAGGAAGAAGCAGGTAAAAGTAGGCTCTTGAGCAATTCAATATTGTGATTACCAATTGAATCGTTGAAATTAATGGGTTCGCCAGAGATTGCTCGGGAGGCAGCGTGAAACTCGGCTGGAGTGTGTGCCATTATTACCTTTTTGAAAATCAACGTTCTTTATTTTTGAGAGTCTAATAAAATTTAAAATAACAATCTGCAACATTACAGGAATAAGTGAAAACCTTTGAAATAGAGTTGTAATCTTTGATTTTTGTGATAGATTTGTCGTGACTTTGGTTGAATTGTTGATTTAGGTTTTTTGTTGGTCTGAAGAAATTTGGATTCTCAAGCATATTATCAGGTATAGCCGTATAGAAATGGCGACCGGAGAGAGAAAGGGATAAAGTCCCTATGCAACATTTAATACAATGTTGCTCAGATTAAACAAAATTGTTATTTGTTAACATGATCAGAAATCATGTAGTTTGGCAGAGAAGTTCGATAACTTCTAAATACTTTCTCTTTGTTCGTATGCTATTTTTCTTCTGTTACAGTTATTTGTGAACAATAAAGTTGTATTTGTGTTTTGTGATAAATAAACTTGGGTGTTGTGCTCTGTATTTTCAGAAGAATCCATTTTCTGTGTTCATAAAAAGAGCATATAAATGTGCTCTTTTCTCTGGCATTATGACTATTCGTGAAAAATGTAGTTTCTACATTGTTATTTTTCTCCATTCCATAGCAACTAGATGGTAGAACCATTTTGATGTTGTTTCACTTCAAAGTTGTAGCAGATTAGTGGAGCAATTGTTCAATGTTGGAAAAAAAGGATAGCTTTGAATTTTTGTCACTTTTTTATGTGTAACCAAGAGATTTAGACGGACGGTTGAAACAATTGTAATTGAAGCTATTGAAACTTTGTAGTTCATGCAATTAAAAGGCTCAACTATGTCTTCTCTTTGTCACTTTTTCGTATGTTTGCAGTTTTTTTAAAATTTTGTCACTTTTCTGAATGTTTGTCACTTTTTTTGAATTCATGTTACTTTTTTAGTGTGCCACTTTTTTCTCACATTTTTTTATTGTTTGTTACTTTTTTAAAAAATTTCTGTCACTTTTTTAGTGACAAATATCACTTTATAATAAAAGTGACATTGTATTTTACTTTACTTTTTAATGAAAATGATATTATATGTCTTTTTTTTAAATTAAAAAGTGATATTAAAAGTTCTGTCACTTTTTTTTTGTGTTTCGGTCACTTTTTATAGTGTTTGTCACTATTTTCTATTACTTTTTTTAGTTTTTGGCCACTTTTTTTTTACTAACAAAATCACTTTTTTATAAAATTGAAATTATGTCACTTACTTAATTTTATGTAGTACCATATAGGGATGTCAAAGTTGTTCGTCAATTATATAAAAGTGACATTGTGTTACTTTTTAAAATTTTGTCACTTTTTAAAATTACCGTGCATATCAAGTGTTCGATTAATTTCTCCAAATGCATGTTTGTGTTAATTATGCCATGATTTTTATATGATACATAGAATATAAACACATAAATACTCACATGTCATTGTATCTCTCTATTTGCATGAATTGAATTGTATCATATTCAAGCATACGTTCCTCCATATGTCACTTTTTTTAGGTTTTTGTCACATTTTAAGTCTTTGTCACTTTTAATAAGATAAAAAAAGTGAAATAATATATTATATTTTTTTAACATAATCAGCATGTGGATTGACCTAGACATGCTGATTATTTTAAGAACATGATTACTGGTGCTGCACAATGGATGGTGCTATTTTCGTTGTTACTTTTTTTGAGTATGTCATTTTTTTGAATTTGTATCACTTTTTTAGAGAGCGTGTCACTTTTTTTTTTATTTTCTGTCACTTTTTTAAAAAAAAATTAAAAAGTGACAATTTTTATAAAAAAAAGTGACATTGTGTCACCTTTTCATTTTACACAGTATTTTTTACTTCCTAAAAACCTTTCATATGATTTTTCAAAACATTCCTAATTTTAAGGGTATTTTTGTAAGTACCCCTTATATTATATAACCTTAAGTACGCACCAAATGCTATCTTACCTTGAAACATCCCCTTAGTTACAATCTGGGAGTAATTCATTGGTGATCAGAGAACGTAACTGGTGCGATATGAGAGAGATGATATTTTTACTTAATTCTCATTGGTCCTATTTCAAAATAAAAATAACTAAGAGGAATGTCTACAATCATTTGATGATGAAATTCAATATAAGGTCATTTTAGAAATTTTATAAATGGACATACTTATATTTTTGCATTCGGTTGAGTACTTAAGGACCTGTTCACGAAAATATGTTTCGAATAAAACCACCGCAAGTGTACGGTTCGTTGACAAGTAATAAAGTGAAAATCCTAAAATTTCGAGTATCGTTCCCACGAGAATTGATTTAACTTGAGTTCTATTATTGCGACCTTAACCGAATCTATTAAACTCAATATGATTATTTGTGACTTTATGATGAAACTATGACTAATCTATAAATTAAACTAAAATTATGAATCAAATGCAAAAGTAATGTTTGAATGCAAAAGTTTGAAGAAATCAATGTATGAAAAGCGTACTAGGATCCCGAATCGCCAAGCAAAGTTCACTTTTAACCCCTATTTCACAATTTGACAACACGACGAATCGTTTGAAGAATCAATGTTTCTAACCTATCCAACAATCTCTTTCGAGTAGAATTGAACATATCCTAGTATACCATTTGACTATATTTCTATGACGAATGCAATATACAAGAATGCATGAAATTTTATAAACACTTAGAGATTCACGTAATGCATATCGGTATATTTCTATCCTCTATGAACAAAACGATGATTTATACCTTGTTGAGTTTATTTCCCTTATTTCGAATGCATAAAATAAACCACCCAAACTCACATAATCACATGCATTTAATAGTCATCAAACGTGTTTAAATGTCAAATTGCAAAATAGAAATTAAAAGATTATAATGCGAGGTTTATCGTTCACCTAGTACATAAAAAGTCTAGCCTAAATGGAGAAAATAAAATAGCAATAAAAATAATGAAAAGAAAATATCACCAAAATCTTGAATTAAATCTTGAAATCTTGAAACTTGAAGTGTAAATCCTTATTCTTGCCTTCTTGTTAGCTCTCCAAGGTATTTTTCTCTCTAAAGTGGTGTAGCCCCCTTTCTTTGGACGAGTTTAGGGTTAAATA